TGTTTATAAATTAGTACAATAGTGCATGTGTGTAATTTATAAAAAAATAAATGTACATATATTGGGGGAACATGCTTAAATATTGAAAACTCTATTCCAGATATGTTCTGATTAGCACAGAATAGGATTATTGCTTCTCAGAATTTGCACACTGCCTTTATAATAATGTAAGATCTTATTAGCATTTTAGCTCTCGTTTTCTTTTTTGTTTTTTATTAAATTCATAATCTGATATATCCAACTTCCCAGAGCCATTTACACAGTCTTAAATACCTAACATGTAAACAATTGATTTTTTTAATTAACATGTAAAGCCTTCCATTTATCCCAAGTAGGTTTTCTTACACATTTTTAAAATTTTTTGAAACAATCTCATACTTATAGAAAAAATTCAAGTACAACACAAATAACATTTTTTCCCAAACCATTTGAGAGTTGATTGCCAACCTGATGCCCCATCACCTCCAATACTTTAGTGTATATTTCCTACAAACAAGGATATTCTCCTACATTAGCCACAAAACAACTGTCAAAATCAGGAAATTAACATCGTTATTCCCATGTAATCCTCAGATTCCATTTAAATTTTGCCAGTTCTCCAAGTATGTCCTTTACCATCACGATTCCAGTTCAGAATCACGTGTTGCCCTTTACTTGTCATGCCTCTTTAGTCTCTTTCAAGCTTGAAGAGTCCCTCATTCCTTCTTTAATTTACGTAACCTTGACACTTTTGAAGATTCCAGGCCAGTTATTTTCTAGAATGCCTCTCAATTTGGGTTTGCCTGATGTTTACTCAGGATTAGATTCAGATCATGCATGTCAGCCTGGAATACCACAGAAACAATGCTGCGTTCTTCTCATTGCATCCTATCTGGTGGCACACGATATTGACTTGTCTCAATTACTGATGATGTTAACTTTGATCGTTTGATTAATATAGTGTTTATCAGGTGCCTCTACTGTACAGTACTCTTTCCCCTATATAATTAATAAGTATTTTGTGGGGAGGTACTTTGAGACTATGTCAATATCCCATTCCATACCAAACTTTTACTTACATATCTATTTATGTTAGTATGGACTCGAGGTGTCCTATCTCATTCAGTGAGTGTAATTTGTTACTCTCACTCTTTATTTTGATGCTCACATGGCCCCAGATTTGGCCAGTGAGAGCCCCTTTATTCAGGCTTCTGCATCTTTTTGACATATTCCCTTCAATCTTTGAGCCCTTCCTTAACTTTCCATCTATATTTCATCATCTTTGTTTCAACAACATTTCAGGTCACTTAGATTACTTTGAATCTTGATTATGACCCTTATAACTTAACTATTCCTCCTAAATAGTAAGCATTTCTTCTATTTGTTTATTCACATCATGGATAATAATGATCAATGAACTGAGGCCAAAGAAAGGGCTCTGCTGTGCTGCTCCAGAAATTACCTTCCAGATCAGAGGTCCTCAACCAATTAATCAGGATTTTGTAGTATATTTTGAAGAATTATCTGATTGGTCTTCAAGCTAGATGCTGCCACCAAGTCAAACTCACTGTCAAACCAAAGACTCTACGAAGCTCTTCCCTAGACTCCAACCACCTCCTTCTTGAAATAAAAGAATTTGTCAGCATTTGGTGCTGTTCTCCATGACTGACAGTGCTGTCTGCATCCCCACTTGATCCCAAGGTTGAGAGAACTCATACCTTCAAGTTTCCCCCATCGCTAGTAGGATCTTTACTTTACACTTAGTAATATCAAAGCTTTGGGGAGAGGAAGGGAAAACAAAACAAAACAAAAACTTAGTTTCTGGCACACTTTATACACTCAGTAATATTTCCTGACTGAGCAGATGAATAACTGAAGATTAATGCAAATGAATTAACCCAAATTTTAAATGGGTCTAGCTGTTCGATTAGCTGTCACTGTACTACGGAAAAGTCTCCAAAGCCAAAAATCTGGATTCTAGCGTGGAACCTCAAGACTTACAGCTGTAAAACTTGGGAAAGCTACTAAATTACTCTGAGTTTCAGTGTCTTTTGTTGTTGTCATTGTTGCTGTTGTTAGGTGGAACTAATAAATGGAATACCCTTGCCTGCTCCACAGAATTTTGGAAGCCAGAGAAGATCATGTAAATGAAATTTTTCTATATGCTATTAACTGATATTAAAGTGTAAGATTATTAATCTTATCATGACTCTATCGTGCTATCTTACAGTTGATTTTCCATTATTTTATAAGAAAAGAATCATGAGCAGATTTTTCAAATGCCCATCATTTTCCCAAGTTATTTACCTAATATTGATCCTTTTTAAAAAACAGAATGAAGCTAACTTCATTTTCTTGGCAGAACTTGGCAGAATTTTTCTTTTTGACTCTATCTAATTTGTTCTTTTTGAAATGCTCACAAATCTTCTACTTAAAAAATTATCCTCAAATTTTTCTGGGATCAGCATAAGCCTCAGTATTTGGTTTACAAATCCTTCCTATCTTTAATTAGAAAGTTAGAGCAGATTCACTTCTCAGGACTGATGGCATCTTTGCTCTGCTTCTTGATTTTCTGAGAAGTACTGATACTAACTCTTAAAGAGAACAGAGAGAGCATCAGGTTTAGCCCTTTTTGTTCAGGAATCAATTTCACAGCCTGGTGGGGCAGGTTGGGGGAGTTGGGGACATTTCTATGTCTCTATCCTCCCATGTATAAAATGGACATAAAGAATCCTATGTCTGAGTGCTGTAATGAGGACTGAATGCAATAATGCACATGAAAGAAGGCCCATAAATTATAAAACTTTATATAAATGCTAGTAACATATGGTTCAGAACCCTGGGATGATAATAGTACAAGCTATCATTTGTTGAATGTACTCTCTTTACCAGACTCTGTGCTCTCTTTTGGTGCTACAGCAACACAATATGTATTATTATCCCTATTTTACAGATGAGGAAACTGAGGATCAGAGAGGTTAAGTACTGCCCTAAGTCACACAGCTAATAAGCAGTGGAGAAATTCCAACCCAGGTCTGTCTGACCCCAAAACCTATTCGCTTAACCCATGTTCCAAATTCTACTCCAAGCTCCCTCCTGTTTGGCCCAAGAAGCTTGAGCTCATTTAATCAGGAGCTGCCCTGAAAATCTCTCTTCTGTATGAGCTGCTGCCAAACCTTTATGTTGTTGGTTCTAAATTTTCCAATATGAAAACCATTCTACTCTCTGGACAAGACAGAAACCACAGAGTAGCTTAATAGCTCTGAACTCTCTTACCTATCTGCTCACACTACACCATCTTCTGAAAGCAGCAGAGCTCTCCTTTTGTACTCTTTTGTGTGCACATTTCCTATATTTCACACTTTTCAAAAGCCTCAGTTCCTTTGCCTTTAGCTCAAGAGGAGAAAATGCCCAATTTAATTAGAAAGACTTGATTTGGTTAGTCATTCAGTGAATTGAATAGATACTCCAGCCAAGTACATTTTCTGCATAAGATAATTATTTAGTTAATACAGCATGCCCATGAATCCTTCTCTAAATTCTTATCCATATAGATTTCTTTTTCAAAAATTTCCTCAGTGTTTACATGGATACATGTTACCAATTTCTCATGTACTTGTACAAAATTAGTGGTTTTGGATCCTAAACTGGATCAAAAATTATCAAGGGCAGTAACAACATCTGAATTTGGCGCTAAATCATGCTTATGAAATGCTTATTTCTTTGGGAGTTTATTACACTTTAAATTACCACGACTGTGATCATTGTGAACCTTTGACAGCTAAATGATCAGCAGAGTAGACAGGGCCCATATGAATGCTGCTTTGCATTAGTGACCTGAGGTACCTAAAAACCAGCAACTTGTTGCTGCGATTGACACTTGAAAAGAACTCACAGTTGCATTATACTATCATTTGAACATTTAAAAATAAATTGAACTATTCACCCAAGGCACCTATAACACATTGGCCTGTCAGGTTAAATCAACTTGAAAAATTGTTGTTTTTGATCTCAATATTACTCTTTGTAATTTGATTCCAAGAGTATTTTCACATTTACCCTAACACTCTGCAACTTTCATTTTCTCAGATTTCTATATTTTCTATTGAAAAATCTTTTTGAACTTATATAATGACTATAGAATCAATTGCTTTTAAACTGTCATGAACTAATAGGCACATCTTGACCCAACTGAAAATGCATGCACTTATGTGATAATAACCATTCTCTGGAAAAAAGCCTTTGGGAAAAGAACAATGCTAGAAATTAACATTTACTCAATTTTAATGTATAGAAAGGGTTACCATGTTTTCTTAGACTATATTGTAAGTGAATATAAGTTTTTTAAAAAGGAGACACTGTGGGAAACATATGAAAGGATTCATTTCCTGCTATTTTGGGGAAAATGTAATCCTTCCTTAGCAGCAGCTAAAACATTTACTCTAAAATGGTTTTTCAACCATAATGTATTGTTAGTCAGAAACATTCTCTTTCTCTTTACAGAGATCTAACAGGTTGGGGACTAATTTTAAAATATTTTTGACAATCAAACAGATTTTTGTATAATTTTTGCATGTATTTTTAGTACTTCAGAATTAGCTTGACATAAATGATCTCAGGAAATGATTTAAGAGCTAATGTGAGCTCCCCCGACTAAAAACAATACTAATAATGACACTCTCAAATTTATATCCTTTTTCGTATGTCAGTTTTCTATGTCACATAATTAATTAAAAGATTAACGTTTATTCAAATTAATTCTGTTACAGGAACTTTAAAAACACTTTGAGATAAAAGGTGAAATCTTAGTTTCAAAAGTACTGATTTAGAGTCAAATGTATTTCAAATGTTAAGCATGAAGTTAATCAGGGTAAGACTTGAGTCAATAGTAGAAATGCTGAATTGGTTATATTTTATTTGGGGTAAAGTTTCTCTTCGTAGAAACATTATTTAAGAATCATTGTTTTATGTGGAATTTCTCTTTTATCCTGCACTGACAACGTCTTTACTCTTTCGTCAAGGTATCAGATACACACCGGACTTCAGCATTCTATCATAAGACCTACCCAACCCAACTGCTTACCTCTGGATAATGAGACCCTACCTCAGAAGCTGAAGGAGGTTGGATATTCAACCCATATGGTTGGAAAATGGCACTTGGGTTTTTATAGAAAAGAATGCATGCCCACCAAGAGAGGATTTGATACCTTTTTTGGTTCCCTCTTGGGAAGTGGTGATTACTATACCCACTACAAATGTGACAGTCCTGGGATGTGTGGCTATGATTTGTATGAAAATGAAAATGCTGCCTGGGACTACGACAATGGCATATACTCCACACAGATGTACACTCAGAGAGTGCAGCAAATTTTAGCTTCCCATGACCCCAGAAAGCCTATATTTTTGTATATTGCCTACCAAGCTGTTCACTCACCACTGCAAGCCCCTAGCAGGTATTTTGAACACTACAGATCCATCATCAACATAAACAGGCGGAGGTATGCTGCCATGCTTTCCTGCTTAGATGAAGCAATCAACAATGTGACCCTGGCTCTAAAGACATATGGTTTCTATAACAACAGCATTATCATATACTCTTCAGATAATGGCGGCCAACCCACAGCAGGAGGAAGTAACTGGCCTCTCAGAGGCAGCAAAGGAACATACTGGGAAGGGGGGATCCGGGCTGTTGGCTTTGTGCACAGCCCACTTCTGAAAAACAAGGGAACGGTGTGCAAAGAGCTTGTGCACATCACTGACTGGTACCCCACTCTGATTTCACTGGCTGAGGGACAGATTGATGAGGACATTCAACTGGATGGCTATGACATCTGGGAGACCATAAGTGAAGGCCTTCGTTCACCCCGGGTGGATATTTTGCACAACATTGACCCCATTTATACCAAGGCGAAAAATGGCTCGTTGGCCGCAGGCTATGGGATCTGGAACACCGCGATCCAGTCAGCCATTAGGGTGCAGCACTGGAAACTGCTCACGGGAAACCCTGGGTACAGCGACTGGGTTCCCCCGCAGTCTTTCAGCAACCTGGGGCCGAACCGGTGGCACAACGAACGGATCACCTTGTCCACTGGCAAAAGTATCTGGCTTTTCAACATCACAGCGGACCCGTATGAGAGAGTGGACCTCTCTACCCGGTACCCTGGAATCGTGAAGAAGCTCCTCCGGAGGCTCTCACAGTTCAACAAAACCGCAGTGCCTGTCAGGTACCCCCCCAAAGACCCCAGAAGCAATCCTCGGTTCAATGGAGGAGTCTGGGGACCGTGGTATAAAGAGGAAAACAAGAAAAAGAAACCGGGCAAAAAGAAGACTGAGAAAAAGCAGAAGAAAAGTAAGACAAAGAAGAAAAAGCAGAAAGCAGGCTCCTTTCCAAATTGCTCTTCAGGTGTTGCTCGAGGATAAGTGCAAATTTTTGACTGGGTAAACTTAAATCCATTCTTTCTCCTGTTTTCTAGGCAAACCAGCAAAGTTGGCTCAATAGCATCACTGCCATAAGCATCAGACTTTTCATGTTGGGCCACCCCAGAGACTTCTCCACCTGGTCGCCATGTGAAACAACTGGTCTGCTTGGTGCCAAAGGTGCTACTCTTGCGAGCCACGCTTAGAGGAGAACGGAGATGTTTATTTCTCCTGCTCCTTTATAAAAGGCGGTCGCTAATGAGGCACTGTTGTGCCTCAGTCAATTGACCAAACACTATGCTTTAAATCATTACAGGAGACAATTTCCTGCAATCGATGAACATGCTAATTTGATGGAAGCTACAGGGTAGCATGATTAAAAACTACCTTTGATAAAGTATGGTCAAAGTTTGCCTCACCTCAAAGGACTTGAAAACTATATTTTCTTAGTGGATTTTTGTGTCTCTATCATATGACACTTGGGTTTTTAAATTAATTCTATTTCATGTATCATTTCCTTTCCTGTGAAAATAAGCTGTTCTTCTCACAGGCGAACAGCTTGCACCTCATTTTATCATGCACGAGAGAATGGCAGATAAGAATGTTCGAGCACACTGCCAAAAACATGAATGTAACTATTTTCTAAACACTTTACTAGAAAGGCATTTCAGCATAAAATACATAATTTATTTTTACAGAGAAAAATATTAATTATTTTGTTTTCATAAAAAGTTATGCAAATGATTTTTAATTATTTTATTTTTATTTTCTACATACCATCAGAATTTTATTTCATGTCTTCAAGATTACCAAGCACTGTAATACTATAAATTACTGTAATATTGTGTGAATTCATAGACTATAAAAACAAAATTATTCAGAGAAAAGGATAATCATTATTGTTCAACCATTATTTTGAATGTAATAAGATGAATATATTCCTTACAAATTACGTGGAAATTCAGTGTTTTTACAGAGTTGAGAGACAACTTTATTGTTTCTATCATAAACACTTTATTTATGTATCTTAATTATTAAAATGACTTATTTTATGGCACTAGCAAATTTAGTGTGGCTTTTCTGATCTAAATTCTAGATAAAATTATATTATTCATTTTAACAAACAAAAATCTTCACAAATAGGCAGCTGAAGGTATGATTTGCTAACGACCATAGTAATATAATATGGAGTTTACAAATAAGAGATATTTCCACTTTGCTATTGCGTGGAGGAAGATGTTCTCTTGTTAATAAATAACAATTCTCATGACCCTACTCTTTTACAAAGTGGACACAGTGGGGAGATACAGAGAGAGGAAGATATGGATCCCACCTGAAGTAGTTAAAAATCCAGTCTGGAAGTCACACATGCAAACATCATGAGGAGGATTAAAGGAGGGAGATCTGTAATTAGGGTTATCATGGATCGTCAATGAGGATAGATTGATGTGGTTCCCGTCACCCTGGCATATTCTTTAAAGTGCCCTCTCCGAACTCAGAGGCCTCTAAGCTCATAGTCTACACTTGAAAAATCACCCAGACCAGGAGCTGTGGTGTGTGAAGTTACACCTGTGATAACAAAATGTGTGTAGTGGTACGGCAGCATTCTGTTAGACGTCTGTATCAGAATCCAAAGGACTGCCTCTCACGGTTTATAGAAATCTATAAAAAAACCTACAGACCATTAATGAAATTACTAAAATGGACAAAATGATAAAAGCTTTTAATATTTCACTTCTAGACTACATACTTCCATTCACTATATAGGATAAAGCACTACTTCTTGAGTTTGTGTTTTCTTGACCATATATTTAAATGTCTTAAAAATCAAAGGCATATTATCAGTGTTGTTTTTCCTTTCTTGGTGGCACATAAAATAAAGATGTAACTTACAATAGATGGTATCTTATAATGCAAAAAATAGAGCTACCATTACATTAAAAAAGAGTTCTGTGGAAAAATAAGTGCAGGAAATAGTGAGTTAAACAAAGTTAAAGGGGCCACTTTAATGCAGACTTTCTTAGAATTTTTAAAATCCTAGTTCGCCTCGTAAATCTCTAACAGAAGGTTTTGTTTTTTTTTCCGGTGAGGAAGACTGGCCCTGAGCTAACATCTGTGCCCATCTTTCTCTATTTTGTATGTGGGTCGCCACCACAGCATGGCTTGATGAGCGGTGTGTAGGTCCATGCCCAGGATCCGAACCTTCGAACCCTGGGCCACCGAAGCAGAATGAGCAAACTTAATGACTACACCATTGGGCCAGCCCCCAGAAGGAAATTTTTATACAGTACGTTCTCATTTATTTCACCATAAAACCCTTCTTTATAGTGCATTACACAGGACTAGGGTTCTGTGGAACAGACTTTGAAAATTGCTGGTCTAGACACAGAGTCTTTTAGAAGTCTAGCAAAACGAAACAAAAAAAGCAAAGAGGCAAATTAGAATCATGAAAATTAACGCACATTTGAGTCCAGTAGGTCTTATGTAATACGATGTAATTTTAAGTTCTCTACAAATGACCATAACTTTGTCAATGAAAATAAGTTAGCCCACGGTCTTCTACCTGAAAATGGCTTCACGGATGTTGTTCACTGTTGACAAAGAACACCTGCCACCTCCACATGGCACTGGGTGGGCTGTGATTTAGGCGAAGTCTGCGTCTTGCCCTTAAGAACTAAAATCTGATTCAGTACCCATGTATAAATAATGCACAAAAATGTTTCCAAAATGCTGTCAGCAAATCACTAGGTTTGTCAAGATGTCCAGGAAGGAAAATACCGTGCACTTGACCTTTATGCTCTCATCATTAAAACTACGTGAATATTGGGCATCTATTCTCAGGTGTCATTCTCCTGAACTGGGATTGTCAGGTTGCATTTCTAGAGTTGTCTATGGTTCTTCCGAGTGTAAAATGCACCTCTTCAAAACCGCTGATCCTTTTATTAGGATAACAAAGGAAACTCCTGGACTGAAAAATAAGTATCCCACTCGCTGTGTCAGAAAATAATTTGTGGATATGACTATGTGTCTTGGATGAGAAAGGATATAAAACATTTTATTCTAATAAAAAACAAACCAACAAAACTTTGTGGTGCCTTTCGATTGGTAAAAACAGCCAACCAGGTGTGTCAGGCCTGTCTAAAGAACTTGTTTCATCTGTACTTATACACTTTTTGTTGCTTCTTTAAAAATAGGTGAATGTTACAGTTTTCTTGACCAGGCCCCTTTAAAGAATATTAAGAATAGAGGAGAAACTGTGCCATTGATAGTTGAGTAAATATACAGTTAATATATTTTAACATTTGATATTCCCAGGTATGTTAATTTGTCATCAGGATTAGCTTCTTAAGCATTTTATTCATAGGAGTCTTGAACACACAAATTGTGAACTTGTCAGTAGCAATCAGAATGTGTGTTGTTGGCAGGAATAAGCTGACTTGCCAAAAGTAGCAAACAAAATTCCTGTGTCATAAGCTAATAACTTCATTGTTTCCTCTTAGGGAAAATTATGTATTAAAATTCATTCATTCATTCAACAAACATTTGTTAAATCCTACTGTCAGGCAACGTTCTAGGTGCTTGGGATACATCAATGAACAAAATGGATAAAAATTCTTACCCTTGTGCAGGTTGTGTTCTAGCCGAGGTAGGTAGACAATAAATAGTCAACATAACTAATAAGGACATCATATACTATATAAAGTAGTGGGAAGAAGAAAGAGTAGATCAGGGTAAGGGGAAGATTCATTCGACACCAAGTGTATCCATCTACTCATTCAACATTTATTAAGTGCCACATGTAATGACACATGCTGGGTATGGGGACAAGTAACATGGGACAGGGTTCTGCCTTCAGGTCATGTACATTCCCCTGGGAGAAACAGCCATAAATCAATAACCAAACACCCTCCTCTCCTCCATCTTTTTTCCCTCCTTGATCTTTCTCCACATCACTTACCACTCTTGAACATATTTCATATTTCACTTTTTTTATTCTGTCTTTATTTACTTACTTTCTTTGTATTTACTTACTTTCTTTATGCTTTATTCTGTCTCCTCCCACTAGAGAATAAGCTGCTTCAGGAAAGTGACTCACGTCTGCTCTATTTACCTCTGTATTGCTAGGATATACAACAATGCCTGGCTCATAGTCAGCACTCAATATATATTTGTAGAATGAATAAATAAAATAATCACATATATCCATATGTTCAGAAATTTGCTTGGATTTCCATTTTCCGTTTCTTGTATAGGGTTTCACTGTTGAGATGAAAACTAATCATCCTTAGTACCTTTCCTCATAGTAATAGCAATGATGTGAAATGCAGACATTTCTAACACTACAAAAAGTAAGTCTAATAGTGTATAGTTATAGGAGCAGAGTGTTACAGCAAAAACCAAGCAAAAATCACACAAAATTGAGAGCAAATTGTATCTATATAATCTTTATTACCGAATAGGGTAGAACATGATTATGCTAACACTGCTTTGAATATTACAAAATACATTAGCTTAAACGAGAGTTTCCAGAAAGGAGAGATGGGGCCTTAAATTGTGAATAATTTTTTGTAGCAAGTTGTGAAAGGGAAAAATATAAATAGCAAACAAACCTCTATGCCTTCATAGAATTATGAAGCCACATGGACTACACCTCACATCCTTGGGTATTTTATTACAAAGCTCTCCAATTTGGTAGAGCAGGAATTCTGCTTCTTTAAAGATATGACTTTCTTAAGCATTTTATTGATTGTATCATCTCTATGAAGTCCATTGATTGATTAGTTAGATATGGCTTTATTAAACACAGAACAGCAAAATGTTGTCCTTGAGAATTAGGCAGACAAACATATTTAGCTAACTTTCCATTTCATGTCTGTGATTTGAAATTTCCTTCCTCTCAAATTTGCTACAATCGTATAACATTCTTGGTCAACTGGTTTATGCAGTTTTGAAAAGGAGCAAGAAAATAACAGGCTCGTTAGGAATGTCGACATATTCACTATTGGCAGAAATTCTTTAGCTGGAGTTATAAGTGGGGAACATCTTAGTGCATGAATCAAATAAAAGTAAAATTTGTCTTTCAGAATAAAATCCAAAAACGATTTTCAATATGACTTATATTAATCTCTCCAGAAACAATACTTTAACAATTAATGTTCCTTCAGCCTTGAGAGTTGTGAATGACAGGCGAATACTTCCACCTGAACTTCTAAATCCTCAACAACTATGAGAAAGAAGTTTTTTCTTCTGTGTCTTGCCCTTAAGAAACTAAAATCTAATTCAGTAGTCATGTATAAATAATGAACAAAAGTGTTTCCAAAATGCTGTCAGCATATCAGTAGGTTTTTCAAGATGTCCAGGAAGGAAAATATTGTACACTTGATGTTTATGCCCTAATCATTAAAACTATGTGAATATTGGTCATTTATTCTCAGGTGTCATTCTGAGGTAAAAAAAAAAACAAGGTTAAAAAAACCAAAACCTTGATTTTATTTAGTATCTGAAACTGTATTTTCTCATGTCACCATCACCAGAACTTCCAGAGGCTCCTTTTCAGCAAAAAATGCCAGCATAACTCATCAGTCATGGAGACTCACTCTGTCTCGAATCCATGTCCTACTAACATTTCTCTATTTTTAGCTTCTCCTGGCTGGAATAATCAATCTGCTCCAGCGCCTAGGAGGTAGGGAATT